TATACAGTGGACCCTGGTTAACGATCACCTCCGAATGTGACCAATTATGTAAGTGTTAGTGGGATGAATTGTAAAGGACCTGCCTAGTATGGGCCAACAGGCCTCCTGCAGTGTTCCTCCTTTCTTATGTTCTTATGTAAGTGCGTTTGTACGTGTATGTTTGGGGGTCTGAAATGGACTAATCTACTTCACAATATTTCTTATGGGAACAAATTCGGTCAGTACTGGCACCTGAACATACTTCTGGATGAAAAAATATCGTTAACCGGGGGTCCACTATACAAGTGTATATTCCTAAAATATGGAGAAATTTATCCGCTACAAGGGGGCTCGCTGTATAGCCCTTGTGGCTTAGCGCTTCTTTTTGATAATAATAATAATAATAATACAAGGGGGCTCAGCCCCCTCTCTCTTTCCACCAGTGAAGATATAACGTGGTTGTTAGAGATCAATTTCTACACATGCCAAGATCAGTTTTGACAACATTTTTACACAATGATAATACAGGATAGTAATTGAACACTTAAGTTTCCCTGACTTGTAATAACGTCTTCATTTTTCTTGTATAATCTACCTCATCCATAATTACTGTCGCATTTGCTTCGTCTGTTTCGTAAAGTGAAGTATAGGATCTTCTCTTAATTCATGGTGTGACTTAACAACTCTGAGGATAATTGTGTTGCACAGGTCAGAGCTGTGTTGCACAGGTCAGAGCTGTGTTGCACAGGTCAGAGCTATGTTGCACAGGTCAGAGTTGTGTTGCACAGGTCAGAGTTGTGTTGCATAGGTCAGAGTTGTGTTGCACAGGTCAGAGTTGTGTTGCATAGGTCAGAGTTGTGTTGCACAGGTCAGAGCTGTGTTGCACAGGTCAGAGTTTTTGTTGCACAGGTCAGAGTTGTGTTTGCACAGGTCAGAGTTGTGTTTGCATAGGTCAGAGTTGTGTTGCACAGGTCAGAGTTGTGTTGCATAGGTCAGAGTTGTGTTGCACAGGTCAGAGTTGTGTTGCACAGGTCAGAGTTGTGTTGCACAGGTCAGAGTTGTGTTGCATAGGTCAGAGTTGTGTTGCACAGGTCAGAGTTGTGTTGCATAGGTCAGAGTTGTGTTGCACAGGTCAGAGTTGTGTTGCATAGGTCATAGCTATGTTGCACAGGTCAGAGTTGTGTTGCACAGGTCATAGCTATGTTGCACAGGTCAGAGCTGTGTTGCACAGGTCAGAGTTGTGTTGCACAGGTCATAGCTGTGTTGCACAGGTCAGAGTTGTGTTGCACAGGTCAGAGTTGTGTTGCACAGGTCAGAGCTATGTTGCACAGGTCAGAGCTGTATTGCACAGGTCAGAGCTATGTTGCACAGGTCAGAGCTGTGTTGCACAGGTCAGAGCTGTGTTGCACAGGTCAGAGCTGTGCTCAGACTTGCGCAACACAATTGTCCTCAAATATTTATTAAGTCACACCATAAGTTAAAGAAAGATCCTGGACAGACAAAATGCAATAGTAATTATGGACAAGGTAGATTATAGTGGAAAAATGAAAATGTTATTAGAAGTCAGGGGAACTTATGTTCCCATTAATGCTGAACAACGCTACCATTACCTTGTACCATAAGATGTATAATTTTTGTTATGGTGCGGAACAGTAATGTTTGAGCTAGTATTTTGTACTAAGCAGGGCAGTAAATGTGTACACAATCATGCAGAACAATGTACCACATGGGACAGTAGATTTGTACACTGAAACTCTTCAGTAAAGGTGCAGGAAAAAATTGTGCCGAGAACAATTTGTACTATGCATATGTACTATGTACTATGGATTCACTTTCTCTTGCATGCATGCACATATACACACACACTCACACACACGCACACACTCCCACAATAGTTACAAAGGTTTGAAGCTTTTATGAAAAAAAACAAATCGAAGTTTGAAAAAACAATATCCTTTCAACAGAGCAACTTTTATCAACAACTACAAACACACATCCTTCTAATAACTAAAAATTTAAATTGTTTACATTACAATGGGTGACAAAGCAAATATATATGAGAAAAGGACAAATATACCATCCCCATTAACACACAAACATCTATAATTTTTTTTGGGTATTGAAAAAAGAATGAAACTTTAGTATAGTATAGGCTGATCCACCAGGAGGCCTGGTCACAGACCGGGCCGCGGGGGCGTTGACCCCCGAAACTCTCTCCACCTCCAGGTATGCAGAATAAGCCACACGGGGAATGGAAATCTTTAGCTCAAGATCTTTCACACAGTCCATGCATCATCAAGAGCATTGCAATGTTGCATAGCTAGCAATATTGTGCTGCTCCTCATGACACATGGAGAGTGCAAAAGATCTGGAGCTAAAGATTTGCATCCCCATGTGACTTGTTCTGCATTAAGATCGCCTGTTTGCACACTCGGGTGTACAGTGGACCCCCGCTTAACGATCACCTCCAAATGTGACCAATTATGTAAGTGTATTTATGTAAGTGCGTTTGTACGTGTATGTTTGGGGGTCTGAAATGGACTAATCTACTTCACAATATTCCTTATGGGAAAAAATTCAGTCAGTACTGGCACCTGAACATACTACTGGAATGAAAAAAGTTCGTTAACCGGGGGTCCACTGTATATATATTTTTTCTCGGCATTCATTAGTGAATGTAACATGCAATATTAAAAAACAGGTAATGCTTACAATACATAAATAACCCACACATAGGAGAGAGAAGCTTATAACGATGTTTTGGTCCCACCTGGACTGTTTACAAAGTCACACTCACAGTGTGAGACTTTGTAAATGATCCAAATGGGACCGAAAAATCGTAAATTTCTATGTGCAGGTTATTTGTACGTATATAGTTCAGTCACGATATTGTTATTTTTTATTGTTCATTAATGTTGACAAGCACTGAGTATCTATAATAAATACAGGATAGTAATTTATTAAGCAGACAAACTGATCTATTTCCTACTTGAAAAAAATTAAAATTCATGAGGATTTAATCACTTTTCTTGCCAAAATTTGTCACTTTCACATATGATAATCATTTCACTGTCCCTCATGTAGGACTGTCATTAACACCAGGGTCTCTCATGTAGGACTGTCATTAACACCAGGGTCTCTCATGTAGGACTGTCATTAACACCAGGGTCTCTCATGTAGGACTGTCATTAACACCAGGGTCTCTCATGTAGGACTGTCATTAACACCAGGGTCTCTCATGTAGGACTGTCATTAACACCAGGGTCTCTCATGTAGGACTGTCATTAACACCAGGGTCTCTCATGTAGGACTGTCATTAACACCAGGGTCTCTCATGTAGGACTGTCATTAACACCAGGGTCCCTCACATAGGACTGTCATCAACACCAGGGTCTCTCATGTAGGACTGTCATTAACACCAGGGTCCCTCACATAGGACTGTCATCAACACCAGGGTCTCTCTCATGTAGGACTGTCATTAACATCAGGGTCCCTCATGTAGGACTCATTAACACCAGGGTCCCTCACATAGGACTCATTAACACACCAGGGTCCCTCACATAGGACTGTCATTAACACCAGGGTCCCTCACATAGGACTCATTAACACCAGGGTCCCTCACATAGGACTCATTAACACCAGGGTCCCTCACATAGGACTCATTAACACCAGGGTCCCTCACATAGGACTCATTAACACCAGGGTCCCTCACATAGGACTCATTAACACCAGGGTCCCTCACATAGCACTCCAGCCTCAATAACATAGATCTACATAGTGAAAGGGTTAAATATCAACATGTAAATCCATTTTAAAGGTAAATGATTTAATCAGAAATCATATGTGTACTAAAGTAATACTTCTCTCGGGATTGACATTCTGACTTTCAACAGTTAAATGAAATTAGAGGAAATATTTTAACCTAATAGGGTCAGGTTCCTGTAATCATTGAAACTCTTGTACAGGTACAGCATTACAAATATATAATGATTATAACTGAAGTTTCAAGCTCTAGCACACTGTATCACTGTGACATGTTACCGACAGGTCATGATAGTGAAAATGTGGTACAGAATAAACATTAATTGGAACTGGTTTAAGCTGTACAGTCAAGCTTTGTATCAATATAAGCTTGTTTTGTAATGCATATTTTTCTTCCATATTCAATACACTGTACCTTAATTTTCATTGTACTGAGAATAAAATATATTAAGTGTCACCCAAGACAAGTTTGTTAATAATAAAACATTTATATATATTTGATAATCCTGGGCTATGAATAATTTATGGCACCTTTTCTTTCAAAGTACAAACAACAAAAATTAAAGCACTATACTTAGCTTCTTTTCTTTGGAAAAATATGAGTGTACTGAACGTTACTGTAATAGTTCCTCTAATTTAGGTCACTTCTCACCAGTACAATATTTTGAAGCTGATAATACTAATGTCTTACTCGACTCTCGTAAAATTATATAGACAGTAAGTCCTCGACCTACAAACATGTTGAGAATCTTCTGTATTGTGTATAACATTATTATACATAATACAGGAGGTCCCCAATGTTTTCGTAAGTTCAAGACTTCCTGTATTATGAATATACGCAATTCAGGAGACCCCAATGTATTTGTAAGTCAAGGACTTCCTGTATTATGAATATACGCAATTCAGGAGACCCCAATGTATTTGTAAGTCAAGGACTTCCTGTATTATGAATATACGCAATTCAGGAGACCCCAATGTATTTGTAAGTCAAGGACTTCCTGTATTATGAATATACGCAATTCAGGAGACCCCAATGTATTTGTAAGTCAAGGACTTCCTGTTTTAGCATTTTTACACTACTACTACTGTCCTGGCTCCCAGTCACGTCAACCTCTTCTTAGCACTGATAAATTTTGAAATAGGTTGTGTAAAGGACTTTCTTAAGACCATTAATAGAAATATTCATCCTTACTCCAGTGGTTCTGTGTCATTTATGTCACTCCTGAAGATGTTGCTGTGGATACTGGTAAGAGAGGTATTCAACCCATGCTACCCATCTCTTTGTTGCATTCAATCTTACACACTCCTTGGCAGCATCCCTGACAGAGCTGCTTGTCATGGTGGGTGATAGGCTTGCCCAGACGTCGAGTGCGGATGTACTGAGGTGTTAGCAGGTTGTAGACGTGGGCTGCTATTTTATAGTACAAGTTTGTAATAACCTGTGACAAGAGAAGACAACTTGGTCAGGCAAATATTAATAGGAACTTTGAAACGTATACAGTGGAACCCCGAGTTTCGGCCATAATTTGTTCCAGAAGGCTGTTCAAGTGCCGTTACCAAACTAAATTTTGTTCCCATAAGGAATAATGTAAATTACAGTAGTCCATTTCAGACCCCCAAAAATACACTTACAAAAGCATTTAACTGTAGTGTAGGCACACCTCTAGCAAGACAGTGATGGAATGAGCGATGATGAAAGCGTTTCTTCTTTTTCAGGTCATTCTACCTCTGTGGGAAATAGCCAGTGTGCTAAAAAAACAGTCAGCATGTACAATACTGTCCACCATCTCCATTTAATATTTCTTATTCACTGAGGCAAAATACAATGGTACCCAGAGTTTCACCCACCTCCCAATTCAAACAATTATGTAAGCTTTTTTTTTTTTTTTTTCGACAAGCCGGCCGTCTCCCACCGAGGCAGGGTGACCCACCGAGGCAGGGTGACCCACCGAGGCAGGGTGACCCACCGAGGCAGGGTGACCCACCGAGGCAGGGTGACCCAAAAAAGAAAGAAAATCCCCAAAAAGAAAATACTTTCATCATCATTCAACACTTTCACCACACTCACACATTATCACTGTTTTTGCAGAGGTGCTCAGAATACAACAGTTTAGAAGCATATACTAAACTGTTGTATTCTGAGCACCTCTGCAAAAACAGTGATAATGTGTGAGTGTGGTGAAAGTGTTGAATGATGATGAAAGTATTTTCTTTTTGGGGATTTTCTTTCTTTTTTGGGTCACCCTGCCTAGGTGGGTCACCCTGCCTGGGTGGGTCACCCTGCCTGGGTGGGTCACCCTGCCTCGGTGGGTCACCCTGCCTGGGTGGGTCACCCTGCCTCGGTGGGTCACCCTGCCTCGGTGGGAGACGGCCGGCTTGTTGAAAAAAAAAAAAAAAAAAGTTTACATAATTGTTTGAATTGGGAGGTGGGTGAAACTCTGGGTACCATTGTATTTCGCCTCAGTGAATAAGAAATATTAAATGGAGATGGTGGACAGTATTGTACATGCTGACTGTTTTTTTAGCACACTGGCTATTTCCCACAGAGGTAGAATGACCTGAAAAAGAAGAAACGCTTTCACCATCGCTCATTCCATCACTGTCTTGCTAGAGGTGTGCCTACACTAGTTCAAAAACTGCAACATATTTCCACCCTTCATTTGCAATTTTTTTTTTACATTTATATATCCGAGGCCTACTAATAATGAAGGGCTTCAGGGAAAAATGGTTAGTCAGACTCGAGTCCTGGAGGTGGGCAGTACAGTGCCTGTATTCTTAAAAAAAAGATTGCTGGGGATGCTGCAGTTCAAAGGCTCATCTGAACTGTGATGTCACCACACTTCTGGAATGACAGCAACTGAATGAATGATGGTGGGTGTGTTTCCTCATTTTCTGGGTTACCCAACCTTGGTGGGAGATGGTCGGGGTGTTTAAGAATAAACAAACTAATAATGGAAGGGCTGTGGCTTGGCACTAACAAAATTCTATATTTCACTGACAGAACCTTGCCTGCCTCCCAGTGTAATTTACCCTGACATTACAGGTGCTTCTTGACTTACGACGGTGTTGTTCCGGTGAACTCATCTCGAGTCAAATATGAACGTGATATGATAAAAACAAGTAAAACAAATAATTACTGTTCAATGTTTTCACTGGTTTTCAATTGAGCCATTGTTCATTATGTTCGATGCTTTCACCGCTTTTCTGACATTTTAGAACAACAGTTACATAAGGGATGGACGACTGGTGCTGTATTTTAAGGTAAGTATTGTATATACTGTGTACAGTATTTATTTTATTTTTTAATTTATTTTTTAAGCCTAGCTGTATTGAGCACTTGATATATGATGGTGTAAATACGTTACGAGGCATTTTAGACAGGTTTAACCCATAAACGGTCCAAGCAGATCTACATTCACATGTGTAGTGCTCCAAAAGTAGATCTACGTTTTTTTACATATTTTCAAATAAAAAAAAAGTAGATCAAAGTTTGCATAAATGGGGAGAAATCAGAATGGGGGCACGTCACAAGCGGTGTTCCTCAGGGGTCAGTGTTGGGCCCGTTGTTGTTCACAATTTACATAAACGACATAGATGAGGGAATAAATAGCGACATAAGCAAATTTGCTGATGACACCAAAATAGGCCGTCTAATTCATTCTAGTTTAGCGTTTGGTTCTGAATGTAATAATAATAATAATAATAATTCATTCTAATGAGGACATTAGAGTACTCCAGGATGATTTGAATAGACTGACGCAATGGTCGGAGAAGTGGCAGATGCAGTTTAATATTGACAAATGCAAAGTTCTAAATATTGGACAGTTAAATAACCATGCCACATATAAACTAAATAATGTAGATCTTAATACTACTGATTGTGAAAAGGATTTAGGAGTTCTGGTTAGCAGTAATCTAAACCCAAGACAACAGTGCATTAGTGTTCGCAATAAAGCTAACAGAATTCTTGGCTTCATATCTAGAAGTATAAATAACAGAAGTCCTCAGGTTGTTCTTCAACTCTATACAGTGGACCCCCGGTTAACGATATTTTTTCACTCCAGAAGTATGTTCAGGTGCCAGTACTGACCGAATTTGTTCCCATAAGGAATATTGTGAAGTAGATTAGTCCATTTCAGACCCCCAAACATACACGTACAAACGCACTTACATAAATACACTTACATAATTGGTCACATTCGGAGGTAATCGTTATGCGGGGGTCCACTGTATATCCTTGGTTAGGCCTCATTTAGACTATGCTGCTCAGTTCTGGTCACCGTATTACAGAATGGATATAAATGCTCTGGAAAACGTACAAAGGAGGATGACAAAGATGATCCCATGTATCAGAAATCTTCCCTGTGAGGATAGACTGAGGGCCCTGAATCTGCACTCTCTCGAAAGGCGTAGAATTAGGGGGGATATGACTGAGGTGTATAAATGGAAAACAGGAATAAATAAAGGGGATGTAAATAGTGTGCTGAAAATTTCCAGCCAAGACAGGACTCGCAGCAATGGTTTCAAGTTGAAAAAAATCAGATTCAGGAAGGATATAGGAAAGCACTGGTTTGGTAATAGAGTTGTGGATGAGTGGAACAAACTCCCGAGTACAGTTACTGAGGTTTAGCTAAAACGTTGTGTAGTTTTAAAAATAGGTTAGATAAATACATGAGTGGATGTGGGTGGGTGTGAGTTGGACCTGCTAGTTTTGTGCTGCGGGTTGGTATCTCCACCTTGGTGGGGAGCCCAACTGAGGGGGTCTTTGGGGAAATCCGGGGGGGGGTCTTTGGTTAATCCGGGGGGGGGGAACATGGACCTGCTCTGCAGGGTCATGGGCCTTTTCAGTTTTCCCTTCTTTCTTAGTTTTTAACAGCTACTGAATGAATGTGGGGGATGTTTCCTTTTTTGGTTATCCAAACTTATTTTTTTTTTTATTATCACGCTGGCCATTCCACCAAGGCAGGGGCCCAAAAAAAAAATTTTTCAACCATTTCATTCCATCACTGCTTGCCAAAGGGTGTTTTACACTCATTTTTTTAAACTGAACATAACACCCCTCCTTCAGGGCAGGCACTGTACTTCCCCCATCCCCAGGACTCAAGTCCGGCCTCCCAGTTTCCTAAAACCCCTTCAAAAATTTGTTACTTGCTCACACCCAACAGCCAAAGTATTAAAAACCATTTGTCTCCCATTACTCCTATCAAACACCTCACGCACCCGCGGGAAGTAAAAGCCCCTCGCACAAAAAACCCTCCTTTACCCCCCTCCCCCCAAACCCCTTTCCTGGCCGCCCCCTCCCCCGCCTTCCTTCCACACAATGATACACTTTTGAAGTCATTCTTTTTTCGCCCATTCTTCACAGTCCAAACCCCTCAAAAAACCCTTCCTAAAAAAAAATTTCGGGCAAGACAGCTATTAATGTTTAATAGTTAATCATTCCTCTGAACAAATCTACCTTGGGGGCTAGTTCAGAAAAAACTTCTGCAAGACAGCTATTAACTTACTGAGGTTAATGTGTTTCCTCTTTTGGGTAACAATCCCCTGGTAAAATATAGCCAAGGGGTAAAAGAAATAAGTTTAGAAAAAACTAATAATTTTGAAAACAATATCTAAAAAAAAAATGTAAGACGAAAGCTGAGAAAAAAAGACTAAACAGCCACGAAGTGTTTTTCAAGGTTTTAAAATTGACAAGTTGAAGAATGAGTTGCTTTGTAACATTGTAATCTCACTTGGGAATGTTTTTGCCACCCACGGGTTTTTTTTTAACCCAAATATTAAAGAAGCCACGGTTTTTCAACCCAAAATATTGAAGGGGAAGAACCCACTGGTTTTTTTCAATCCAATTTTGAATGAGGAAGCCACTGCTTTTCAACCAAATATTGAAGGGGGACCCCCCCCACTGGTTTTTTCAACCCAATATTAAATGGAGGAACCCGGCTTTTTAAATCCAATATGAATGGGGGAAGCCACTGGTTTTTTTAAACCCAAATATTGAATGGAGGAAACTGGCTTTTTCATCCAATATTGAAGGGGGGGAGCCACGGGTTTTTTCAATCCAATATTGAATGGGGGAACCACTGGCTTTTTCAATCCAAATATTGAAGGGAGGAACCATTGGCTTTTTCAATCCAATTTTAAAATGGGGGAAAGGGGCCACTGGCTTTTTCAATCCAATTTGATGGGGGAACCCACGGGCTTTTTCAATCCAATTTTAAAAAGGAGGAAGCCACTGGCTTTTTAAAATCCCAATATTGAATGGGGAAACCCCTGGCTTTTTCAACCCAAATTTTGAATGGGGAAACCACTGGTTTTTTTAAACCCAATATTGAAGGGGAGGAACCCTGGTTTTTTTCATCCAATATGAATGGGGGAAGCCACGGGTTTTTTTCAATCCAATATTGAATGGAGGAAGCCACGGCTTTTTCAACCCAATATT